TTGAGAGACACCTGTGCTGTATATATATATATATATATATATATATATAATTTGTAATTTATTAGAAATTGATGCATATATATATATATATATAAAATGTATTAGAAATTATTGCAATAATGATTTATAAATAATGATTTTTAAATTATTACTTATTTAATTAATTCTTTATTCTCTTTATGCAAAATATATAGCTTTATTTCCATTGGATTTTAGAGTCTATTGCATGTTTTTTTTGTGTTTTTTTCAGGTTTCATGAGATTCACCCAAAACTTTGTACCTCTGAATTCAGTGGAGCATACTATTTAACTCCAAACGGCACACAGTTCATTTACCATGCTCTATCATTCAGCTTGCAACATTTGAAATGTTTTAAGAAACAATGAAATAGGCATTTTTAAGGCAAAAATATGTGTCGGCATCTGACACTACTGAATGTGCTGTTATGTCGATCAAGGACTGACAAGATGCCTTTTGGTGTAAGATATGTTGATCTAGAACAGAATTTTCATGCTTGGATTGGTTTGTTAGTGAATATGAATTCCTTGTAAAGACCGTCTCTAGTAGACGGGTTGAGGAAGACTCTTTCGTTGATGTGTTGTCTTTGATATGCTACTGTCACACTGCAGCGCTCACATTTTTCTCACTGTTTACTTTTACCAGAACAAAAACAGCAGCATCCGCACCCTGCTGCCAAGCATTGCACTTTTCAGTGATTTTGCATGGTCCTAAAAAAAATAAAAATATTATGTTGTACAAGTATCATCAAGTGTCCACGTTATGTTTAATGTTATTTTGTCAAATATGGGCTAACCGTCTCTGTATTTTCCATATCTTTAGAGTTTGTTCCATGTTGGTTAAAACTGATATAATATAAAATTCAAATAATTTTGCACACAATGATATTCTAACTTTGTGAATTGTCATCTGTTGATACAATATACACAACGGCCACTAGATGTTCTTGTTGAATAATTTTATATATTTTTCCATAAGACAATAAAAATCACATTAAAATTAACTTAAACATAAATTAAGCAAATTTAATTAATGACATAAAAAAAAAACTATAGTATTTTTCCTAAAATTATTTAATAATTTGGGACGTTCTCACAGCTTTAATTATTAATAATCTGAATTAATTATTTTTGTATTATTTTAATTAGTTTTTATTTTTATATTTACTGGTTTCATTTTAATTTTAGTTAAAGTTTTAGTAATTTTGTGTTTTTTAAATTTTAGCATTTTTTAAATATGTCTATATAGCTTTTATACATTTATATTTCAGTTTTAGTTATTTTAGTACTTTTAGTTGAACTAAAAAAAAGAAATGTTTAATTGGAAACTGGCTAAAAATAAGTTACATTTTTTGTATATTTTATTTTATTTCAGTTAACGTTTATTGTTTTTCAAGCAACTAAATGTTTTTTATGCTTTTACTTTTATTTATAATAACCCTGTGAATGAGAGCCCTGTCAGGCCTACATTTGCATGTAAACAGGCTTCAAGTGATTATTTTACTACGTGCTATGGCTACTACAATGTGACAGTAATGCCATGTGTTTTATGTGTTGTAAATATTGATTTGTTAGACTGGACTGTGCTACACAGAGCTGGGTAGATTACTTACAAATTGTAGTCCGTTACTGATTCCAAATTACATGACAAAAATTGTAGTTAGTAACGTAATCCATTACATTACACATTTTAGGTAATGTAATCAGATTACTTTTTTTTTTAAAAATCACTTTTAGATTACTTTTGACCTAACTCTTTTATCACATTGATTTAAATACACCACCATACAAATCTTACACCATACAGATCTTGCACCATACAAAGAGATATAAAAATACAAAGAGTAAGAAAATATATTCCATTCATTGTAATTAACAACATGAAGTGCATTAAACATTAATATAATTACATAATTTAATTTTTGGAATCTGATTACGTAGTCCAGATTACATGTAATCGGTTACTACCCAGCACTGCTGCTACATAATTCAGGAATTACCAGGAATCTTACAATGAAACAAAGGCTAAATTTCTTTCTCTAAATTTAGCCTTTTATCTATGATCCAAACATGATAAACGTGATAAATCACTAATTTCCTTAGATGCATAAAAAACATAAAACATCAGGAAACCACATTCCATTTTTCAACGAGCAGCGCACTGCATTCCCATTGGTCGAGAAAGACAACATCCGTTGCTTCCATCAGCCATTCATCTGAACAGAGGGAGGAGCCAATGAATAAAACAACGGCCTTTCTATCTGTCAACCAATCAGCGGGAGGGATGAATGAGCGTCCGCCAATCAGCGGCGGCGGGTGGATAGGCGGTGGTGCTGATGCTTCTCTGAGGCGCTGGAGGGTGGGGTGCGAACCGAGAAGCGCAGCTGGTTTGGTCGGATTTACTGTTGAGTTCACGGGTGAGTCGAGCTTATATCAGGCGCTGTCTATAAACTATTCATGTAATTTCCTAATAGAGAGGCTTGGTTTTGCTCTGGCAGGATCGAGCCTATGGGAAAGCACTGATTTATGTTTAATTTTGTCATTAAGTTTAAAGATCATGCAGGCAGAGTAGCTTGTTAGCGTAGCGGCAGCTGTTCATTACATTGAAGTGCACTGATAGTCTCATGGTCCTAACCCTAACTGTCACTTTTTATGTTTTATGATGGCGTGGTTAATAAATGCATAATATTACTGACACAAATTTGTGTTGTTTTATTATTATTATTTTTCTTTTGTAATTAACACGAAGTTGTTAATTTTCTAAGCACACTTCCTGTTCTTAGAGAAATGCAATTGGTGCAATTTTACATTGATGTTAGATATTTAGTCCACGTGTTGAACATATTTGCACGAATAAGTGACAGGTTGACTGCAAAACCGTCTTGAGAGGGGAAACAAGCCAACAAAAGACAATTGGAACAGCCTGGTGCAATTAAAATGCAGTAATCTGCGACAAAAACAGCTTGGTGGCTGCATATTTAACATTTTAGTGCTGGTTCAGAAACTTGACTTACAGTCTGGTCCAAAGGTGTGAGATCACTAGTGACAATGCTTTTATTTTGCATTAATTTCTATTCAAGGCCAATAAATAAATGGCAAATTACATTATCAGCATCTGAAAGACTTCATTTCAAAGTGCATGAATTTCAGACATGTTTTAGGATTTGATTTGTGCTTCTTTTGCTTTAATGACAGCAGCACTTGAGCTGCATTAAAGGGGTCATATGATGTTGCTAAAAGAACATTATTTTGTGTATTTGGTGTAATGAAATGTGTTTATGCGGTTTAAGGTTCAAAAAACAGATTATTTTCCACATACTGTACATTATTGTTTCTCCTCTATGCCCCGCCTTTCTGAAACGTGTCGATTTTTAC